CCAGTGCGTGATGTAACCTAGCGGCCTGCCTTGCTGAGGGCGGGCACCCGCCCTACTCGACCTGGTGAGCCTACAGCCGTGAATGCGCGTGCCGACAAACTCGTCCCTTGCTTCATAATGTGTGATCTTGTCACCATTCGGGAAAACGATTGCGAAGACTGGGCCATGCGCCCTGGAAACGCGCACTTGCGGGGGTGGCGGTGGAGGCGGTGAGTCTGGCGAGCCATCGCCGCCATGGGGCGGGCCTGGGGGGTCGCCACCCCCGCTGGGCCCCGACCCCCCACCACCGCCGTCGAGCTCATCGTCCTCCCGATGGCCGAAGATTTCTTCTTCCTCGTCGCAATGCTGACTAATGCCACCCTCAGCTGACTGTTGCGGGTCTGAAGAGTGCATGCTAAGCTCGTCGAACTCGTCGCCCGACCCCTCGTGGGAGGGGCCTGAGCCGTCTGAGCTCTCTGTCGTCAGCGTTGGAGGGCCATCGACCTGCTCGGAGTCGGCACCAGCACTCGGATCAGAAGGGGCGTCATCGCACCCATCGCCCGCGACGCCATCCTCGATGGGATCGGGCGCTGGCGGGCCGTCGCTCCTGCCAACCCCCCTGGCGCGGCCCCTGCCGCGTCCGCGGCCGCCGCGCGGGCCCCTCCCACGGGCCCCTGCGCCACGTCCCGCCAGCGGCTGCTCGCGGTAGCGCATGGCGTCTGCGATGCCCCCCCAGAAGCAAGCGGCCGCGGCTGACCCACCAGCCAGCGCAACAGCGTCGACGGCAACGACGCTCGGGTCCAACGCGCCGAGCCTCCGCACAGACTGCACAAGCTTGAACAGGCGAACGTACCACTTCATGTCTGTGTCCAGGTCGCGCAAGAACATGTACTGTGACGTAGTCTGCCACTGAGCTGAAAGCTCACGCTGGTCCACGCCGTTGAAGATTGAGACCGGCCCACCCCCTGGATGCTGCATGTAGGTGAACATGCACTGCACAGGCTGGCCGTGCTGCCGCGCAGCGTGCAGCCAATGCTGTGCGCTGATATACGCATCGGCCCCAGCTGGCCCGGGCGGACACGACATCTCCACGCCAGTAATGGCATAGACAAGGTCGCACTCATGAAGCGTTTTATGCAGTATATTGCTCTCGTTTGTGAAATCATGAATGCGCGGTTGAAACTCCTGAACATGACAGCAGTGGCCCTCCCTTCGGGCCCACAGAGACATATATTGGCGCGGTGGCGCTCCGTCGGCTTGTGCCCTGTCTTCTCCGCTCGCGCCACGACTGGCACATCCTGGTGCAAAATGGGCTCGTGGAGGCGGTTCCAAGTAAACGCAGCAGCACGTGCGAATCCTTGGCCAACTTGCTTGTGCCTGTTGCACTTGGCCGAGTCCGCGGCGGCCTTCGACACAAGGTCGAAAGAACCTTCGATGTGTCGGCACGCGCACGAGCCTACCACCCCAGGGTCTGGCTCAGGCACCAGCGCTACCCCCCCAGCGATCCCGCCGACATCCTCGCGCGCGAAGCCGCGCGCGTCGTCCAAGCTCGAAGGTCGGGGGGAGTGCGCTGCCAAGTCGCAGCGGACGCGGGTCTCGAGCTCGCGATCTCTCATGTTATCTTGTCGAACCCGCTTGACGACTGCTACCAGACTAGACCCCCATTCACCAAGGGGCGGGGCTGCCCCAGATGCTGAACCAGTCGCTGCCAGGGTGCCCAGCGCAGATACCTCGGCGTTCAACCCATTGTCGCAATCAGCATGCATAGCCTGGCTAATTGAGC